TGCATGAACGCTTGATATTTTTCAAATTCGTCCGCGGCTGCAACACTACTGTGCCGATATACTTAATAAAAATCTGATTAAATATGTCAAAACATTATTTTTACGTTCTAACAGGTAGTCGGTACAAACAAGCTCCAGGATCCTTAATATTCTCTCTTCGTAACAAAGAGAATCTCCTGCCTTTTAAAGCTCCACTGAAAGATCAAAATACTCCGTACGCAATTTACGCAGGAAATAGTCATGGACCAATATTTGGAGGAGGTCATGATATAGCCATATATAACAATGCTGGTTCGAATACCAACTCATACACAAATTTTAATGCCTACTACCAAGCTCCATCTGGTGTCAGCAGCACAAGCACCATCCTGGCAGGAACTTACAATTTTCAACCTTCAGAAGTTGAAGTGTACCATATCGTCTAGAACTTATCTTATCATATATATTCGTGCACTAAATATTCTTATTTCTCAAACTAAATTTAAACTGCTCATATACAACGACATTTTGCATCATTTCTTATGATTTTGAAAGAAAATTTAAATTGACCGAATAAGTCACTTTCCCAAACTATCTTAAGTCGTGGGCCAAAATTATTCGCTTCGTGGCATCCATGTGGGAAGGACTTGGTTTATGGTTTATTGTTTATTGTTTATTTGAAAGGCATATAAGTATATTACTACCAAAAAAAGCTCCCAAGCAAAAAAACTTGCTCAATACTGAGAAAATGGGTGATCAATGATTATCCTCTATTAAATTGTATAACAGGAAAAAAATGGGAATTTTTGTATTCAATTGCAATAAAAATGACTTGTATCATCGGAAAACGTACAAAAATCGCATATAAGACTTATAAACAGTTTTTTATTCTTCAAATAGTCTTTGAGTTATTGCCGTTTTAAATGCGAAAATTGAACCAAAATGTCGCAATAAAGACTGGGTACTAGGTCAAAAACGCGTTTTTGACAGCGTATAACTCGAAAACAATTTGAGATAAAAAAAACCTGTTTAAATGTCTTATATGTCGGTTTTCGTGAGCATTCTGATGATGCAAGTCATTTTTGTTGTAATTGAATACAAACTTTCACATTTTCTTGCTGTAATACAATAATTTAATAGGGGATAATCGCTGACCACTCATTTTCTCGATATTGGCCAGATTTTTCATGGTGTCCCAGGAAATTTGCCCCCCCCAAACTTTGCCCCCCCCCGCCAAATTTCCTAGGAAATTTCCTTACGTTTGATATGCGAATTATTCTCATTATGACGTCACATTGCATAACGACTTC